CGAGCGTCATCGTCATCAAGTTGGACATCGCATCGCGTTGTTTACTCGGGTCCAACGTTATCCTTTTTGGCAGTGGCCGCCTTTGTTGTTTTGTTATTTTTCATGTCAGTCAAAGAATTGGCAACGGACATGGCCGATGAAATATGCTATACATATCCATCCATATACAGTAGTACTAGTACAGGGATCGAACGAGCGAGGGACAAAAGTTGGTCGTGGAGCACATTGCATCAATATTGAAACGTCAACATCAAACTTGCCCATCGGCCAAATGGCGCTCGCATAGAATAGACAAAGGACGATGCTGCCTCGACCCAAAAAGCTGATGAAGAGTTCACATTTTTCTTTGTATGATTTGACGAATGAGCTGTCATCTTGCATTGGAAACTTGTCTGTATCCACCATCTCCGCCCCCTTTTCTCCCTGGACAACTCAACACAGCTGATGGCCTTTCTTGTTTGTATTCCTTTTGAGAAAAAATTTTGATGGCAAAAAGTTGCTGACCATTTCGTTTGATGCTTCGTTAAGGGGCATGATGAAAGGCTGGAGAGGAGTGGACGAGGAAAACGAGATGAATCTCATTTGCTCCTGGCTAAATTTCAAATTGAACTCTTCAAACTGATTCTGATCATGGCTACATATAGGGTATAGAATTCCTTACGGAGTTATAGGAAATATTGCATTTGCTTGCACTTAAAAAAATCAAGTAAAAAAATATATTTTTTTAAATAACCCAATTAAATTTTTTTAAAGTCTATCTTCTTCATTCCTTTCACAATGTTATAGTTTCAAAAATAAACTTTAATCTATCTCATTTTCTGAGTCCAACCAAGGATTGTCAAAAATGATTCTCCAGAGAAATTGTCTATATGTATTTACAATCCTTCCCCCCAAAATGTTGCGCCTTTTCCGACTATTGACGGCTGGGGAGCACTTTTATTGATGCCCGGACATTCATCACGATTTCTTGGAGCCGGCAGACGCTACGTGTCACTCTCACGTTCTGTTGCTGTCCTTGGAGCCCGGAGGAGCCCACAGATGACCCTCCGCTCCCGCTGATGGCTCCATAAATGATGCAATAATTTTTTCAACTTCGGACGGGCAGCAGGGCAAAATCAAGAGAAATTTGCCTTTGGGATTTGGGTTCGTGAGCGGGAAAGGATTTTCGTCGCTGGCATACGTTTTGTTTGAAAAATGCACAGGACATTACGAGGAGCTTCTGCTGCTTGGATCCGTGATGTATGACGGCTGGACAAGGGGGAGGAGTGGGTGGTGCACCACTTCGTTGTGCTGCGTCCTTGGGGGAGGAAAGGACTTTCCTTTTCGTCATCTTTCGGGCTCCTGACTGACCGTCAGCCCTGTCTCGGCGCTCTGCTAATGGCTCCGGTCCATTATCTCGTCATGTTTGTTACGAAATTTAATTACTCTTATTTATTTTTCACTGCCCGTTCTCATCCGCATCCGCATCCTCATCCGCGTCCGCCTTCGCCGCCTTGTGCTGTTCTGGTTTATGATTTTCAACTTCGTCAAAAAATGCAAAGGCAAAAATTAAATGTGAAAAAATGAAATTAAAAACACTTTTTGCATAAAGCGTCCGCACGGCCTTCCCCTCCTTACCACCCACCGCCCATTTCCCACCCATGGCCAACGCCTAATGTTTCGTCACTTGAGCTCTCAGCAAAAGCCGTCGTATTTTTTCTGACCTTTGGGGTTGGAGTGTCTCGGGATGAGTGTTTTGGGAAAAATCTAATAATATGTTGCGGAAATTGTATTTTTTATTGTTGACACGTTGATGTCAGATGCTTTTTTGGGTTTTAAATGGATTATTCAGAGATTTGGAGACTGTTAAGAAAAATTATAGTTCTTTTTGGTAAAAATCTGAAAATAATTGGAAGCTGTTTAGTAATTATCAAATATTATAATCAATTGAAATTATAAACTGTTGTAGGTATATTATTGACTTTTTTCGGAGAATTTATTCATTATGAATATTTTCACAGCATATAGACTTAAGAGCTGAACAATTTGATTCTTTTTTACAGTCCTTTCTCGGGGAATATATTCTTCTATGCGCAGATTCTTATCAGTCTCACTTTCGCTGCATACTTTTGGGATGCGAGGAGTACGTAAAAAGGACCTGATGGCGAGCAAATGCTTAGATCCTTTAAGAGTTGTCTTCTTTTCCTTTGCAGTCGTCGAACAATCCTTTTGAAATTAAATGCCCCACGGAGATGTGCTGACTAAGGAAACTGTTCCATTGACCAGCGATAGAAGATGGAATTCCCTCCGTCTTCTGCCGCCGTCCCGTGCATGTCCATCATTTGCTTTTGTCTTTCGGTTTTGTTTGCACACGCCATTTCTTGCACAAAATCCTTGCAACCTCAGTGGCAGCAGCCTCTTAGACCTGCCACGCCCCCGATGCCATCGCCCCCGCCCCGCCCCGCCCACGCCCACTGGCATCCCTGCAGCTGTCAGTCAATGTGTCGTGTCACAGTGTCTCTCCATCTGTCTGTCACTTGCATGTCTGTATGTCTATTCTACGTGACACCAGGCGAGCGAATTTCCAACTCTTCCCGCTTCATGCCGACTTGCAAGCCTGCTTCCTTGCCAGCTTGCTTGCTTTCTTGCTTTCCTTTCCTGCTTGCTTGCTTGCTTGCCTGCCTGCCGGTTTGCTCAAGTTTTCCCGGGCAGGACGAGGGAGGCGGGAGCGAGGACCTCCAGTGAAGGATGCTCTGCAAGCGATGGATGGATTTTTGGATTCGCAACTTGCACTTGGATTACAAGTCTGATTTTGATGCGTACATGTTTGTCCCGCTCTCAGTTCGGTTCGGTGCGTGGGATGGGAAGTACACACTGCACTTGCAAGCACACCGTGAAAAAATTGGTTCAAAGCGAATGTATTTCAAAAGATAGGGTATCGACATCTCCTGTAGAAAATGGTTAAAAATCTAGAAATTGAAAATAAGGTAAAGCTTGCAAATGGTGGATATTTCCACAATATCGATGTTTTTAAGGGAAAAATATAACTATAAGAAAGAATATGATTTTAATCCTATAATTGACTTGTATGATCAAAACATAAACTTTATTAAATATTAAAAACCAAAGCAATCGGCTAAATAATGTATTTAGGACCTACTACTCCTGCTTAAACCTAGAGCCCCTTAGATGTTATATTCAAAACATTTAGAAAAAAGAGTAATAAGTAAAATAAGGATTCAAGTATGCAGTGGTTGTCAATTTTATTTCATAAAATATTTTATCACAATCGTTGAAAAGTATACTTTATGGAATACAAAATATTTTAATTGGTAAAAATGTAATAAATTTACATATAACCCCCTTGAATCACTGATAACATTATGAACACCAAAATGTTTTTACCATTAGAGTTTATAAAATTCTATAATTTTCTGTGTAGAAGCCCCCAAAACCCTTATCCATTATGGGTCAACCTCACACAAACACGAGAGGCCGGGAGAGTGTGGGAACGCTCAAGTTTTCTTATGCTTTTGTCTTTGTGTCCTTTTATTATTTTATTCCCTGGCCTTGTTTTAATTCACAGCGTCTGCTGCCGCGTCATCCTCCGGCCCGACTTTGTCTTCGTGGCAGTGCTAGCATCCCAGAATCCTTCTTCGTCTCCGGCAACATTGTCTCAGGCTCAGTCCGCATCCTTGGCAAGGATGCTCACTCACAGACACATGTGGGAAGTGGGCGCTGCAGATGGGGGGCGGTGGCTCTTGTTGTTGGGTTGTAAGTGACATTCGCAATTTTCAAAACTATTGAATGAGTGACAAGTTCTGCAGACACGATTGAAACTGACAGTTAACTCGAGACTCGGCAAGCAGTGACTTGCATTCAATGTGGAAGTCCTGTATGCATGCAGTTATATCTTAAAAAGGACGTAATGGGACCCACAAACGATCACTGAATATTTTTCATTGTTCGAGCTTTAATGCATGTTTATTGCGCTGTTGAAATATGCATGAACTAGTTCTTACAAACTTTTTTTTTCAATGCCCCGATAAAATGCCAATAAAATGCCGCATTTAATAAGACTGTATTGGCCAGCGGACAGCTGACGATGATGAGGCCTCCGACTCGTGGAAGAGGTGACTCACTGGCCATTAACAATTTCATTTATTTTGTCGCATCGAATAAGTGAGTTGGGCTCGGCCTGCCGGGGACATTCGACCCAGTCTGTCTGTCAATGTCAACATCAATGTCACTGCGTCCTGGACCAGACATTTTGACAAATAATTCAAACCGCATTTTATAATGAATTTCCCAAAGGCCTGGACGGGATGGGAAGCTGTCCAGCAGAGGTGGGTGTGGACTGCAGTTAGGCTGCACCTGATAAGCCCCCGCCCATGTTCGTTCGGCCAGACATTTGCGGGAGATTTATGCGAAATAAATTCCCGGGGAGAAAAAATACCAAAACTGATAATCACATTGATGAGCGGGGCTTTATTTTTGGATTCGGGCCTTAAGTGCCAGAAAGCGACGAGCTGGCGTCACTCACACTCACATCAGCCTGCCATAAAGAGATGGTTTTATGGGGCAGATGCGAAGGCACAATGTGCGGTGTGTCCGGCTTGCGGTGACTCCTGAATGCTTTGCGATCGTAAATTTTTACACCCAGGCATCGAAAAGGTTTTTAACGCTCAGCAAATGGGCACTAAAGATCTGCCATAGCATGAATAGAAAACTGAAACGCCAAATATATCAAAGGATCAACAATTAAAATTCATTAAATAAATATATGAGGCTGCAGTTAAAGATCAATTGTGGAGAAAATAAAATTCACTGTTCCCTCCAAGCCAAAGTTAGTCATGCTGCGGTCGAGTTGTTTCGCAAACCTGAATTTACATAATCCACGCTCATTAAGGCGACCCAAAAAATCGATATGCGAAACAAAAGAAATATTGTTATTACCGCTGACAGCTGCCATCATATTCGATCGTATCGTCAATGTCAATTATCATAAAAAGCGCCAAAAATAACTTGAAATTTGTATTTAGCAAACATTTTTGGCAACCGAAATGATAAGGAAACAAACGAGATATCTCAATCTTAGGCCTCCAAAAAGGAGATGGGCTGTTCTTCCTTCTTGGAATCTTCGGTTCCCGGCAAAATTAGTTCACCAATAGGAAATACAATGACTTTCCACTTATTGAAGATTCGCAGGGTTTCAAAGTGAAATCCATTTGCATTTACAACGTGATTTTTCTCGGCATCGCGATGCTTGGAAATCGGTGTCAAATCCACATTGCAGCAGTTCAGAAAGTAATTGGCTGAACTGAGGGCCACCACGAGATCATAGCATCCGCCCAAAGTTTCGTTCCAAATGGAGACGGATGCGAAGGGCAGGGTTTCCCGCTGGCATATGTCAATGGCCTCCCGGTTGTTGCGGAATGTGTAGAATGTTATAACTCCAGTTGGGTAGCTTCCGAGCTCATCGTGGGTGCATTCGCAGACAAAAACCGGTGAAGCCAGTGGAGGGGCCACCTCGGTACTGTCAGCCCTTATTATTTCCTTATAAGAGGACTCCAATTTGTCCAGGGAGGCCAGAAAGTTAGGATGTTCTGCCACGAACTCAGAAAGGGGATGTAGCTTAGGTAGGATTCTCCTAAAGATCTCTTCACGAATTTTCTCCTCAACCAGAACCATTGCCACCGCATTCGAGGCAAAGGGATTATGAACCGATTCAATGAGAAAGTGCAGGGCGCTATCGAAGTCCCCTTCCTCAAATATAATCATCAATTGGGGAGCTGAAGTGGAAGCGGGATCTTCAGTTTGGGAATCTGGAGCATCTTCCGATGCCACTTCTATAGCACTAGGATCCTGAGAAGTTCCTCTTGGATTATGAACCATATCATATTTAACTGGGTAATCCAAAGAAGGAGGCTCTTCGGGCTCCAATTGTGATGGGTGATCCGAGTCAACCGAACGTGGAAAGTATTTGGTTGTATCGAACATTGCGACTACAAGAATCTAAAGCAGTAATTTTTCACTCTAGTAAATATTTCTTAGATATAAACTGAACAAATTTGAAAGAAGAGAAAAAGCTAATAACACAAATACAAAATACCCGACAATACCTAATTATTTCGGCTCCAGCGAAAACAGTTTAATTTTAATTCTACATAACTAATAATGCCGCGGGGGCTTAGAAAGTCCTTTCATTAGAGCTCAGCGCAATCCCACAACGCGGGAGATAAACAGAATTGGAGCGGAACACAATTTAGTTAACCAAAACCCACGGTGCGTTTTATTTGTTAATCGCTTAATTTATGATCGAATGTGACAGTAAAATTAAAATATCACAAACAGATACAAAAAGGCCGAAAATACACAAAAGTACTTAGCCGTCGGCCGAACAGAAATCCGAAAATGCATTTGGATTTGTTGAAATTAGCATTAAAATATTATAAATATTTTGCCAAAATATTACAATCTTTTTTTTTTGCATTTCAAATTGCCACCCTTTTTGGCTAACAACAAAGAGCATACGATTATGAAACAACAAAACAGAACTAGCAGCGACAATTAAAAACATTTAAAACCACAGAAATATTTTTTCGTTGGGCGCCATGGCGAACAACAAACCCACCGCAAAAAAATTCATAGTAAATTCCCTAACGAGTTGAGGGACATCCATGTGGACATCAAGTGCAGCAACAATACAGCAAATTTAACAAAACGATAATTCTGCTAACGATGACCATTTACATATATCAAGAGTAATTATAATAAAATGCCGAAAATAAAATTAAAATTAATATAGAAAGCCGATTATAAAATCCTGTTTATACAAACAGATATCCCGCACACTCACCCGCATTCCGTGTCGCAACAACAACTGTCAAAAATAGCAAATCCCATAAATCAACAATAAAATTTTACCCAGAAAAAAGGAATGGAAACGCAAATAGAAAAAAACATGCCTGATTTCGTATACATAATTGAAGACAAATAAATTTGTATTTATTTTCTATACAAATATAGCTTTTGGCCGAAACAAATCATCACCAGTTTTACAATTCCGGCCTGCTATTATAAAAGAAAACAAAAAGCTTACAATTTGAAGGCTTGGAATATTCTGTCAAATTTTTTACAACTGGAGATTATCTCCAAAATGGTCGGAAACCTAATGAAGAAGGTGATTGTAGCCCTATTTGCGGTAAGTTTTAGATAACCAATATTTATGCCTTTAACAACCTGACCTTTTTTTAGCTCTTACTCGCTGTAATACTCAGAATTATTATACCTTTTAAAATGAAGTTTAGTAACTATGAAATAACTTCTAATATAATTGGGTTTTTTACTGCTTTGACAATTACCATTGCCATTATTATGTGCTGCTTTTTGGTCAGCATTTTCCTAGCTTATTTGACTGATGATTGGATTGTTTTAGGGGTAAGCTGTTTTGCAAAATAATATGTAATGATAGTTAATTTATTAAAATTAGTATGTACCGCTGCTGATATACGTCCTGCATTGGACGTATCGCACATTTTCAGAGCGATTGGAAACAATGAGTAAAAGCTATGATACACTCATGGATGGTTTAACACAAAAATGGCACAGCTACTTCAATTACAATGAGACGCATTGGCCTGATCTTGAAAAGACGGTATCATTTACATAGTAGACTCTTATATATTTTTAACTGCTCTTATATCTTGCAGATGCTCTGCTGTGGACTGGAAGGTCCCCGGTCTTACATGGATTATCTACAGAAGGTGCCGGGACACTGCTATAATCCTCAGCTCATTACTCTGGGCTGTTATCATTTATTTCTAAACATATTTTACCCAATGCAACTAATAGGTGTCCTAATGCTTAGATTGACACTTTTTGTGGAACTCGGCATTTTTTTTTATTTTGGTTCAATCTTATTTAAAAAGACTTTTAGTTTGATTGGAGTAAGGAACCAAAAAAGAGTTAGGCATTTGTTTTTGGTAAATCGAATTTTAAGACATTGCATTTTGCCCAAAATATTAAAACTATTCAAAAAGTAAGTTATAATGTTTTAGTTTTTAAAAAATATAATAATAAATAAGAGTTTATTACCTCATACTAAATGGTCATATCTACTTAGTATTTATGGTTTTAGAGTGCCAATTTTTATCTATGCCACTTTGGCGCATAAAACATGCAGATGACAAACCTGAATTGGACAAATGAAATAAATTGAAATTAGCTTCCTTTTGTTGCCGTTGACAATTTGAATAAAATTAATATAAATTTTCTCACATTTTTAATTAATAAATGTCAAATATTCAGCGTATGGGTATTTATTTGTAAATTTATTTGTCTGATTTGTAAATTTCCTTTTTTTCTGTTTGTTGCCTTTTGTCTGTTGTGGCATTTCATGGAAAATTGATTTTGTTGTAATTGCAACGATAACAAATTTCACTCGCATTTTTGGCGGGGAATGGGGCTTGGAAAAAAGTTTCGAATGGCGCCAAGCATAAAAATGGACGAGAGAGGTGAAAGAGTGGCGGAAACGTACTTTGGACTCGCCCAGCGGAAACGGAAGTCAATATTAGTAGGCAAAAATGAATATTCGCAATGGCAAAACAATTCACATTAAGCAAAACGCACGAATTTTTGACAATTGCACACCATTATTAATGGTCAGAATCTGTCGCGCTTTGCTAACCCGAATTATTGTTTTTGTTCTTTTTTTTATTTATATCGATGATATCAGGAAATCAATTTTGGGAAATTTACGACCGAAAGTCATGCTCTACCACTGCGGTCTAAGGTAGATAAATGAAAATTGCTTTCGATTAGTTTAACAATTGGTAAACAAGCTAGCTCAGAAAAGTACATATAAGTCGTGGGTGGTTTAAAGACTTTTTAAATTTAAATAAAATATCAATAAATTATAAAACATTAACTATAATAATTTATTAATAAACATCTGGTAATATATTAATTCAATGCTTTCAGAATTTCCAAGCAAACTGTATACTTCTTGTCCCTGGGTAATACTAAACTCCTCTCGACACTCACGCAATCGGTTTTATGGATCCGGTGTCAAAGTCAGTCATTAAACACGTGAACGATCCAGCAAAACCTTAACGACTGTGGGTGAGTGTGACGTGTGGTGGCTATGAAATCGCTTTGATTGATTGCCATTCCCGAATTGACGACGATAGGAGGACCACACGCTTGTTAACTCTGTCAGTGTTAAATTTAAAAATATACACATCGTGTGCGATAAGTGGGAGCCCAGGTCATAAATACCCGGCATCGTCATCGTCATCGGCATTGGGCACCCACGAAAAGAATTTCTTATGGCTGTGCGGATGGGTGCTTGCAAATATTTTGTGGCTGGCAAGTGTCAAACATTGGCCATCGCACAGACAGGCAGCCATCAGAGTGAGACTTATCATTTGCTCATAAAAATGTCAAAACTATCACGCTGACATTGACTGATGACGGCGACCCGAAAGGGAGGTGGTATGATGTGGAATGTCACTTGGGTTCCTCCGCCGGCAGGATGCCAATGCTAAATGCTTCGCCTCCTCCACTTGTCACATATCCAAGCACTGCCAGCTCTGCCATCCTTCAACACGCATCCTCGTGCTGACTGATTCCATTCCATCTTTTTGCCATCGTGATGTTATTTTTTCCTCGGTGCCACTGCATTCATCCATCCATCTATCCATCCGTCAATCGACTCCATTGAAGAGTGACTCAGAGTTGCTCGAGGAGCCATCAGCATAGCCATTCCATAACTGTTTGGGCATGATTCATGGCTTCGATTGAATTTTGATTGACAATATCGCAAGCATTTAAAGTGTCTGTTTCCGCTTTCCCTGTTCTATGAATATTTTTTCTCCACTCTCCTTACGAGTGGCTTGACTCTGGGATCGCAAAGCTTCGGCGTAGTGATTTTAAAAATCATTTGTCCTGTGACAGATGAGCGATTGATTGACTTTGTCGGCTACGAAATGAATTCATCACAGTTGGTGATGAGTTTCCTGAGATATCTCAGGTGTTTTAGTGGAATATTAGGAGCTATTGTGTATGTAGTAGGGTTAATTGGTAGCATAAGTGCAGAGGCGCATCCAGAAAATAATTTTGGGGGTTTTGGGAAATATTTTACATTGAATATTGAATGATTTACTTTGCAGGTCATTCAAACTTCCTTGTAAAGTCTTAAAATTAAATATTTAACCTTGCCTATTGATTCATCACATTTTATTGGTGTAAACCTGTCACTCCCTCCTTTTAATTCACAGCTTTTACCTATAAATTAATGATGACTTTTAATAACTCACAGCTTATAATCGCGCTTTTTTCATTATGTTGCCAAAGAGAAAAACTAGTTCATGTAAATTTATAACCTTTAATAAGTGTGTCATCCCCTGCTCGATATCGATTACGAACCCCATTATGGGCACCCACTCTTTGGGCACGGACGTACACATTAATTAGCGATAAGATCACCTTCAGTCCTCTGGATGTGAAAATATCAATTTCATTTTGACATTGATTGAATTAATTTATGAGCTTTGCCTTCCCAGCCGTCTACACCCAGCTAGTTTATTTATGACCGTTACCAATTCGAACCAAATCAGAGCGATTTGAGTGATTACCTGTTTGACCAATTTGAGATTTATGCTCTCAAACGGAGTGAATGTTGTCGTCCCAGCTAGAAATCTAATCGATACGGAGTGCCTGATAAGGATGTTTGGACTTGGAAATTCGGGTTGAGCTCTTATTGTATTGTAAATTAATGGCAATAATGTATAAAACTCAAATAAAAATGGTATTCAGTGAAAATGTATTTTTTATGACTAAAGAAGTGGGAATTTTCGGTAAATAATATACAAATAAATAATAAATAATATTTAGTTATTTCTTCCTTATATCTATTAGCTAAATATTTGGAAACATTTCAGGTATTTTGGAACCTACTGTGTTCATAAATAAATATATAAATATTATTTACTTATCTTCATGTCATTACAATTTAGATCTCTACAAGTCAACTATATGACCGTCTTTCGCAGTCCATTGAAATTAATCATGTTGAATTTTCATTTGACAGAATAAAAGAGCTTCAGAAATACAGTTGTCAATTGTCCGCAGCAACTGCAACTGCAACTGCAGCCTTTCATGGCTTAACATTTTTTTGTACCGAGACAAATATATATAAAGCAGATGAAACAGTCACGCACTTTTTGAAATTGTCATGGGTGGCTGTTCGTGGGGTGGGTAGAGGGGATTGGGGGGTGATCACGTCCACTGGACGGGGACATTTCAATTTACTCATTGCGCCGCTGTCAACGGAGGAGGTTTTGGACCTGTCGCAACCTGAGGCCTGACAACAATCGCCAACAATCAGTGGAAAATGCGTTCATTTTAGGACATTTTGCAGTAATTGAAAGCGACTTGCCATCCAAATGGTTTTTAATTATTTTTTTAAATTTATAACTCCTGTATTGCGTATTGGTGCTGCTGCACTTGCTGCCCGTGCAGCAAATAAATTGCGAATTATTACGTATTTTTGTTCCGATGTGGCATTTATATATATTTTAATTTTAATTCAATTGCACGTCGCTCATCGGAACGCGGACTCTGTGGAGCCACTGGCTCTTCAAATAAACCGACATTTTGACGCAAATTATCCGCTGTGGGCCCAAGGGCTAGAGCCGATTGTCTTTGAGCTTATTATTTGATAAATTAAAAGGATTTCCATACTCTGTTCGCCCACGCATTTTTCAATTTATATTAGTGGAAGCAAATTGTTATTAAGTATCTTTCGGAATATGTTTAAATTGCCCCTGACATCTTACATGTTCGACTTTAGCACGTGTATGAGTTCCTGTGGGGTAATTCTTAAATCGTAAATATTTAATAACGTTTTGACCGATTTTTTGCACCTAAAAGGTCGCATAATTTTTTCTGCGTACCAATTTCAGTGCAAAAAACCAATAAAAATAACATAAAATCTAATATTCATTGTTTAAAAAATCGTACACCCAAAAAAAAATCGATATGAATCGTAGGTCAATTTTACCTTTTTTAAGGTCATTATACCCGTTACTCGTAGAGTAAAAGGGTATACTAGATTCGTGCAAAAGTATGTAACAGCTAGAAGGAAGCGTTTCCGACCCCATAAAGTATATATATTCTTGATCAGGGTCACTAGCCGAGTCGATCTAGCCATGTCCGTCTGTCCGTCTGTCCGTCTGTCCGTCTGTATGAACGCTGAGATCTCAGAAACTACAAAAGCTAGAAGGTTGGGATTTCCCACACATATTCTTTGGCTTCCTACGCAGCGCAAGTTTATTTTAGCCGAGCGCCACGCCCCCTCTAACGCCCACAATCGCCCACTAACGATTTTAAAATGGGTCCTGCGCCCACATCTTTAAAGATTTCCGAGAAGTATAAATGCAATTTTGTTGTGTATATTTATACCTATCGAAATGTAGAAGACATTTTTCAAATCGGACCATTCATTAAAAAGTTATACGATTTATAAATTGTCAACATATATCTATCTCCCTCGCACTCCCTTCAGCTGAGTTACGATTATTAGTCGGGACACCAACCCGACACAGCGTTCGCACTCCCTTTAGCGGAGTGACGGGTATTAGATAGTCGGGACACCAACCCGACTATAGCGTTCTCTCTTGTTTTTAACTTGATATGGGGCCAGGTAAATGTGATATGGTCGAAAATGTAAGAACAAAAATTTTCATTATTCCTGACCAAAACTTATTCTAGTGCGAGCGAGAAAACATGCTTGAAGTACTTCAGTTCGAATTTCGAATACGTCTTTCTCGCTTCCACTCAAGTCATTTTGCTCGCCATATTGATTCTTGCGCTCTTTTTCGAAGTTAGAGAATCTCCGAGAGAGAGAATTCGGCAAAATGATATTATTTAATGTAAATTTTATAAATATTTCAGGTAAAATTGATATGAGTAGGAATAACCAGAAAATTACCTGGACCTATCGATTTTACGGCGACGTGCTTTTTTTTGTGTGTAATCCAAAATTCATTTTATAGCCACAAACAGATCATAACTAAGAAAAACAAGAGAGAACGCTATAGTCGGGTGCCCCGACTATCAGATACCCGTTACTCAGCTAAAGGGAGTGCGAAGGAGATGGAGAAAAACTTTGATCCGCCGTAACTTTTTAACGAATGGTCCGATTTAAAAAATTTCTTCAACATTTCGATAGGTATTGATAAACACAATAAAACTGCATTTTTACTTTTCCAAAATATTGAAATTTTTAAAATCGTATATAAGCGTTAGAGGGGGCGTGGCACCCTTTTGAAACAAACTTGCGCTGCGTAGGAACTCCTAGAATCTGCATGCAAAATGTCAATCTTCTAGCTTTTATAGTTTCCGAGATCTCAGCGTTCATACAGACAGACAGACGGACAGACAGACGGACAGACAGACAGACGGACAGACGGACATGGCTAGATCGACTCGGCTAGTGATCCCGATCAAGAATATATATAGTTTATAGGGTCGGAAACGCTTCCTTCTACCTGTTACATACTTTTGCACGAATCTAATATACCCTTTTACTCTACGAGTAACTGGTATAAAAAGCAGGCTACAAAATAACGATCAGGGGGCTTTATAAACCATTTTACATTTATCAGTTCGTCAAACTGAAATTAATACTAAAATTGAGTTTAAAATTATTTTCTTACTGGTGGCTTTAATATATTATTTTTTATATGTGTATAATTTACGTTTTAAGCAACGACATACATTTTTACCATGAATAATAAATTTGTATTATAAGAAAATTATAAAAACTTAGTTCCGGAACATGAAATATTTAGTGTAAGATAACAGATAAAAACAAAGATTTAATCTAGAGGTAAATGATTAAAAAATATTTTGAGAAACTTAAGGCCACAGCAGCAAAAGCTACAGTTAGTTGTATACCAGACAGTGCTGCCATCACTCAGCTTGAAAAACAGGACAGATAAGCCACAAAAAACAGGGAAAAAAAGGACAAAAAATGTAAGAAAAGGACAAAAAAAGGACAAAAGTTAATGTGCCTACATTTTTCTGTTTTTACCAATGGGTTCAACTTTTTTCCTGGGGCTTAAAACAAAAATGTTTTGATGCAAAGTTGTTCCCCAATCAAAATTAATAATAACTGCAAAAAAAAAAATTTCAAAATATTTTTCCTTGTATTTTTTTATGATTTTTTGAATGGAGACCTCTCAGTAAAATTTTGTATGAAAAGGAAGAAAAAGCGGCAAAAATAACTATTAATTTTGATTGGGGAACAACTTTGCATCAAAACATTTTTGTTTAAAGCCCCAGAGAAGAAGTTGAAAATTTGACTTTCAAAAAAAATTGTCTAATTTGCCCACTTTTCAAAGGGTGCTTAATGGGTTAAGAAAATTGTTGTGTCATTTAAACGGAATTGAAGTGCTCTTTCCATAGGTGCCAAAATGTTTATATTATAAGTTCAAAATATGAGTACAGTCAACATTCAAATTTGTGAAAATACTTTTGATTAGGGTTGTATATTCGTAATACAAAACGAGGACGGAAGCTAACTTCGGCAAGCCGAAGTTTTAATACCCTTGCAGATTTTACGAATTAAAACTTGACTAGACTAGCAACATGAATTAATAAACAACAAAATATTTTATAATTGAAAAAATAAAATTTTACAATTTTTCACCCTATTGTTCCTATGGGAGCTATGAAGGTACGCACAAAAAAATACGATTTGGAAAGTTTCATGGGAATAGCTAATATTTTGCGCGAAATATCCTGAAAAACGTCAAATTTTGACCGATTTCACCCTATTGTTCCTATGGGAGCTATAAGATATAGACGTCCGATCGGCACGCGCTTTTACCCTGATCAAGGTACGCACAAAAAAATACGATTTACAAAGATTCATGCCAATAGCTCTTACACTGAGCGAAATATCTTCATTTTTGTGAAAGCTATATCCGATTGTTCCTATGGGAGCTATTGGATATAGACGTCCGATCGGGTCGGCTTTCAAACTTGATCTGCGTACACATGTTTTAGGACGACTGTGAAAGTTTCAAGGCGCTAGCTTTTAAACTGAGCTCGCAAACGGTATTGAAACAGACATACAGACGGACAGACGGACAGACGGACAGACGGTCAGACGGACAGACGGACAGACGGACAGACGGACAGACGGACAGACGGACAGACGGACATGGCTATATCGACTCCCCTATTGATCCTGATCAAGAATATATATACTTTATGGGGTCGGAAACGTCTCCTTCACTGCGTTACAAACTTCTGACCAAAATTATAATACCCTCTGCAAGGGTATAAAAATTAAATATCTGCGTCAAACCCGAAAAAGAGTCGTTCAAATCTGAATTTTTTTTCTGACAAAAAAGCAGAGAGTAAAAATTAAGAAATTTTAAAAGTGCTTTCCTCTTTTTTTTGCTACAGAAAAAATCGTACTATAAAGAAAATCCATCGACTGCTTTACGTCTCTTTGATAATTTGTAAAAAGAATTATTTTTTAAGTGCCGAACTGTAAGAATGATGGTTAAAAAGGCATTTTAGCAAATAAAAACAGGTTTATACACTTTCGACTAGCAAAAATAACACTCAAAACCTTTTTTTTGAAAAAAGGATAGATTTCCGGATAGGGGATGTTTGAAATTTTTTCCGGATAAAGCCGTTAAAAAAACTGATACCAGAGAATAAATAAATAAATAATTTGTTAAATTGAGTTTATTTGCTTTAAAGCCCGCCTTCCAACTACTTAAACGCAGGAGCAAAATAGTTTGAGGTCCGGATCGCTGACGCAGTGAGACTGGGCCAGATAGTGGTTGACGCGACTGATGGGGCTGGTCAGGAGTAGGACGTCCGACAGACGAACGGTGGCCTCGAAGATTCCATTCCCGGGGGTTGTTCGCACCCTCAGCCTCAGTTCGTAGACGAAGGACTCCTCGCCGAAGTCCAGGAAGTGAGCCAGGAGAACCATGTGGAGCTTGAGCTGGCGGCACTGTTCGAATGGCTTGATCAACTTGTTGATGGACTCCACCATGAAGCGGCTGCATCGCAGGACCAGTCCGTCGTCCGTGGGAACTTCGGTGAGATCGCGGCAGAAGCAAAAGAGCGATGGTATGTGGGCCAGGTCGCAGGTCCTGCGGTCTGGAATCGGGAGGAAGAGGCTAATGCCCCAGGGCATCTTCTTGGCGGAATACGACAGCAGGCTACTCATGCGGGTCGCGATCCTGGCATCCTGCAGTAGATCCAGATTCATCACTTCCATCAAGGTGTCGTGCAGATCGTAGGGTGTGATCAGGCTTTGGGCGTTCTTCTCGAAATTATCCATGGCCAGGGGGTATTTCTTCTTCAGCCATTCGGGGTATATGGCCACCATTAGGGGCTGTGATTCCTCCCGCATGCCCTGAAAGCTCATGCGATAGGTTCCGGCCCTCAAGCCATGATCGGACATCAGCAATACTAGTGTGTTGTTGAGGATATTGGCGTCCAGCAACTTCTTCAGGAGCATCATGTAGGGCAGGTCCAAGCTGCGGGCATATTCATAGTATTCCTGGACACCCTGCGACTGCCAGAAGAATGAGAAAAAGGGTCTTTTCTGCATATGTGGTACTAATTTGAGGATAAAGTCCCCGAGTATCTCTTGATACTTTCGTCCTGCCGAGCAGTGGATCATCTCCTTCAGGTCGATGCTGTAGCGCGTGTGATTATCCATCTCGGTCATCACAGGAGTCAAATCGAAATCAATGGGTTGTCTGGGTTTTCTCCACTCTCCGTTCTTATGGGAAAGAATTCCTAGTGCGTTATCCTCGCCATAGGCAGTGCCGTAGCCTCCAGTCTTAAAGCTCTGCCAGAGCCAAGCTTCCTTGTTCAGCAGAAAATCTGGATCCTCTTCGCCAGCACTGAAGCCCCTCAGAAGTGGCATCAAATTGGCATATGCATCCAGCCCCACTCGACTGTAGCCCAAGAATTTGGTGTGCGGAAGATTTTCCAGGAAGCCCTTGACGTAGGGAAAGTTTCGGAAAAAGTGCATATAGGCCATTGAGTCAATACCCAGCACCATAACAGATAGTTTTTCAGGACCTCGTCTTGATTTTGAATCGGGATCAGGGGGCGGCAAAAAGTAATGCACATCGTGATATTGGGTTTCATTCAACTTGTTCGAGCACTCGATGCGAACTATCTGCTGACCAGTGCCAATTTTAATTTCTTCGCTCGCCCCAATTTTCAGGTCGAAATGTCCATCCTTTGAGTACTTTTTGGAGTAAAAATCGCCTGCAGACTTTAGCCAATATTTGCAGTGCAAGTCCTCTTGAATCTTTGTTGCCACCAGAAAATTGCTGCCACCTTTAGTTATCGCTGTTATCAACTGTTTTCTGCGGCATCGCAACTTGTTTATCGGCTCGATAGCACAGGTAAAAGCCGCTGATCTTTGCAGTCCAGTTATATGACATTCGGAGGTATTGACAAAGACAAATTCCTCGGGTGCCGCAACTGGGGATTCATCTTCAACCAATTCCGTAAGAGGCTGCAGTCCAAAGTATATCAAAAAGAATAATCCGGTGAGAAGCATCATTGCTTTCATCCGCAGCAGCATCTTGGCCATTTTCCTATCGTTTGATATTTTCTTCTTTATTGGGATTCTAAACTAAGCCTGACTTTTGATTTCAGGCATACTTGGATAACTCCTTTTCAGAGAGAAATTTCTTCAATTGTTTTGGTCGTTTCAATTAAGTGGCATATAATTAATACCATGCTGGTACTGAATTAATAATATCGAACAAAGCCGCCTAAAATTACATTTGTTTCTGAAATTTATTTCCATACCTGAACTGTATGGAAAAATTAATTAAAATGGCCAAAAATGATTAGAAAATAGCGAAATGAATAAATAAAATAAAGAATAAATAAACTCAAATTTGCTGGCAATTGTTGATCCCACATTTCGATAGCAGCAGGGCCAGAATAAAAAGGAGAGAATAAAATAAAGCCACTAATAAATAAGGAAATAACTAAATACCATTCCAAAATAATTTTTGCAATTGTTCTAAATAAATAATGAGCACAACTGTACTGCCGAACTTTTTCGGCTCGGCTTAGCCATGTAAATGTGTGCGTTTGTCCATTTAAATTATAAAATCTAATCACCTTTGTTTAAAATTTAATGAACGCAATAATTTTAGAGGATTTGCATTCACATTTCGCTGGGAATGGCGTGTAAATTGGAGGGGAAAGGTGCTCTGGGCATTTGGCGTAATTGGCGACAGCCGCCAAATGCGCTGTGGGGTGTAAAAAATGACCAGCAGAAGGCATAAAAACTAAACAGCATTTTCAAAAAACAAATAAAACGGATTTGTATCTATCGACGGCCTAACAAAGCAAAAGAGATTATGGAAAAGCATAACAAAAGAGTTTTATTTCCCGTTTTTATTTATCATCGTATGCAAATAAGCAGTTTACAAATACCAGCAACCAAATATTTGAATGGTTTGCATAAAAATCGAGCAATTTATTTAACAAATTATCCATTTTAGCGCTGTTCGCTTTGTTTTGTCAAATGAGGTTAATTTGTGTTTAACCTGACATGTGCTGGTCTCTGCCTCTTGCTGCGGTCAAGTGTGGGTAAACGCAGTTTGCTGGCTTTTCCAGCCATTACCAGTGTGGGCAAATGCAGTTAGAAGCGTCAACATGGCGGAATTTTACAAATTGTTGGCATTATGGAGTAGAAAGCTAAAATCAGGGAAAAATGCGCTGGCTTTATTGTGTTTGTTGAAGGGCTCGAGGTTCCTTTCATTATCATCCTTTAGAGAGAGATAAATCCAGCTGAAATAATATCTCACAAATATCCAGCCTAGTTGTCTAGAGAAAGAAATGGCCACAAACTATTTATAAAATATTTTGTGTTTGAAATAATATCTAGCGTTTACTTCAAAAAATTACTTATCACTATGGACGGCAGTCCATGTAGTGACGAAGCGCACCAGGAGAGTGTGCGAAGGCGACTACTATTATATAGCCGCAAAATTGAAAATCTGCTGTGATAGTCCGATCGTAATGAGTAATACACCAATCGAAAGGTATTGCAAAAACTTAAAGGATTGCATACCAAGACTTTAAGAAAATCAATTGGCTTGGGGGAGAGAGCGGTGAAAGTGAAAAAGTGAAAATTTCGAAATTTGGAGCTGTTGGGGCCGGTGGGGATAAATGCCCCCTCGCAATGTTTTAGTTGTATTCCTTTTGAAAATACCCGTCGAATGAGGGGTCATTTGTCGAAATCCGACGCTCCGTTCAAAAGTTATAGCCAAAATAAGATTTTCTTCTTCTTCCCAAAATGAAATTTTAATTCTGTTTGTCAGTTTGTCCACTTGTCCACTTGTCCACTTGTCCAAAATATGTTTTTTAAGTTCTGAAAATTTGATATGACGTTCATCACATCGATATAAAAAACTTTTGTTCTACCACTTTTGGAAAAACCCGCTAGTTTAGCGGGTTTAGCTATAAATAGCTAAAATTCGGAAAGCCGTAACTTCTATACTACTAAAGCTACAGACTTGTGCTGCATCTCGTTTGAAAGGTATTTTTAAATGCTATAAACGCCTTGTATATGCAATTTGTGTATATGTAATAGTTAAAAAGATATGAACAAAAGAAAATTTGTTTAAACTTTTTTTTTAGCTTTTTTTTAATTTTCTCAAAAACGGCTCTAACGATTTTCCTTACAACTTTAAACTGTATAGCCCTTGAGATTCCTTAAATTTTGGTATATATCATGTTTATGTAAAAAATCGCGTTTAAAAGTTATTCAGAAACGAAAATAGCCACTTTTGCCAGCTCAGAACGACTAACGCTCCCTGAGTATTGAATTTTGTGGGAGGGTATCCGAACTGTATTTTAGGGTCATGGAATCAGTAAATTTGCACTTAAGAGTTCCATATAGGAATCTTTTGTTCTACGACTTTTGGAAAAAGCCGCTACTTTAGCGGGAAAAAAGCTAAAAATGGCTAAATTTCGTTAGTTTTTAAGTTCTACACTATTAACGGTACAGACATGTGCTATACCTCGTTTAAAAGGTATTTTGAAATACTTCAACGCCTTTTTAACGTAATTCGTTAAAATACAATTGTTTAAAAATTATGATTGACCAATTTAAATTTAAATGTTTACATTAGCACCTATGAGAGCAAAAGTAAACAAACAAAAACTTCTGATATCAAATAAAAACACCTCTAAACGAGGTAAAAAACTAGTGACGATCGCACCTTCAACGTACAAAAGTTCTGATATCAACTTTTGTGACGAAAAATGATTTTAGATGCGACTAAATAAGTACGTTACCTAAAATTTATTCATTCGGCACGCTACAACAAAAAACTTTCGTGTAGATATTAAATATTTGCTAAAGCGGGCCGAATGAATACATTTTAGGTAACGTACTTATTGAGTCGCATCTAAAATCATTTTTCGTCACAAAAGTTGATATCAGAACTTTTGTACGTTGAAGGTGCGATCGTCACTAGTTTTTTACCTCGTTTAGAGGTGTTTTTATTTGATTATTGTCTAGTTGAATAAATTAACAAAAATATTAAAGTCAGAAAAATAAAACAAATACATTTTTTAAAAATAAATTCTTTAGGAACAGTTGACCATAAAGTTCGGTTACTACTTAATAAAGTAAAGTTATGTTAAAGTTAAGTTATACTTAATGAATTTTAAATATTCAAAAAAAAATCTAGAAAGGGAATCAAGCAAATAAAAATTTATGTTTTTTATTTAGACTTCATAAAATACATACTTAAAATTTATATTTTATAAACTTTTATTTTTTTGATTCCTTTATAAAATATTAAAAAATAAAAATAAATTATTAAAAATATTATTTGAATGAATTCTTCTTTAGAATTATTATAAATATATTTTAATCCCACCGTTGGAGCCCCTAATTCCCATTCGATGGAAATTGTCGCTCATTTTCATGTCTAGTGCAGTGGCAGTTCTGATATTTTACATAACTATATGGGCCTATTTATACATACAAATACACAAATAAATCCAATCCAATATAATTGCAGGGGACATGCCAAAGAGCAACACCATGGAGTGTTTTGGAAAAATGGGTGGGTGGAAAGTGGGTGGGCTGGATTGGTAATGGTGATGGTGATGGTGCGTTGACGTTGTCATCAAAATAAAAATTAATTATGCATTCTATGCGCTGCATTTGAATTGCTTTTGTTGTTTGTTACTGTCATTCCCATTTTGAGTGCGTTTGTTGTGGCCTCGTTGCAGTTGTTGTTGCCTTTGTATCTGGTTTTATTGGTGTTTTTGTTGTGCGGGATTAATGTGGCATTAAAGCACCGCGCATACTTTTTAGCATTTGGATCCGATAACTGCGGGGCAAATAAATTACAAATATAATAATTAAGCAGCATTATTTTTGACAAAACAAATGCACAAACACCGCCACAGCGCCCATCTCAACCCAAAAATCGTTGAAAATCGGGGGCGGTTATCGCGTGCATGTAGCACATATATCTGCGTAGTTCCTCCCCCCGGCGGTAGATGGCGGTGGCGCCACTTTGGGCGTGCTGTGCGTTGTCGCACTAAAATGCATTTGTGCATAGGAATTAATTACGCATAATGACAATTTGATAAAATTGAAAAATTACATTTTATTTAAATTGATTTATTGTAATTAAAAATTCTATAATGGCACCCAGGGCCCGAGTTCGCGGTGCCTGCCAGAAATGCATTTGTGAACAATGCGAATTTAATTTTATCAGCACAGGACATTGTTATTGGATGATTGTGTGCCGTTGATTAGTCCAACAAAAGTATTCAAATAATTAGCAAAGGTATCGCAAACAAAGTTGGACATCTGGCTTAAGTTATACATTCACATATCCATTATGCGGGTAATTGCGAATTAACAAGTTATGAAGATGTCCTATAATAAAGTAGTTTATTTTTAGGTAATTAAAAAACATAATAAAAACCTCAGTTCAAAAAAAGAATTTCTGAAAATATTTTAAATTTTAAATTTGATATTTATTTCTATTTAGTAAACTTCTTGGGTACTAGAATTATATTATGTGCTTCATACTAAGGACTAAAAAATCAAATCCCAATATAACCTTTGAAAGAATTTTTTCGCACATTTTATTCATAAACAAAATATTTAATGAAACCGAAAAAACAAAAATTTAATAAAAATAGAACAGGTAGGATAGCTTTTCCTTAAACCATTGCAGCAAGCAGACTTTTTTGTGGATGATTTGGTACTCCTCTTTCTCAGACTGTCCAGACTCCAGTTGATGAGGAGTTACCTCATTCACATCCTTCACATCAATTGTTACAGTCATTGTACTTGTGGTCTCACTATCTGGGGGTTTTCCATTGTCCTCCGAAGAATGTTCCAGAGCTTCGATTAGGGCACTTTCGGTCACGGGATTCTCTGCCCGGACCTTTACGCGAATATCGCCTCCATATCCAATCTTTTGGCCATCATAGCTCAGCGCTATTTGGGAGTCCACCATGCTGAAGTACTTTAGATACATCCGGTTCGTTTTGGTAAAGCTCTTGGCCACAATGTTACCAATATCGTGAAAGAAGCGATATACTATGTAAGCCCTGTCCAACTCATAATCGCTTACGGATATCCAGAACGTGTTCCTAAGCTCTTCGTTACCCTTACTTTTATTTTGAGCATGAGATTTAGCACCGTTGTCACTAAAGATGTTTGAGGTACAGGGATGATCTTTAGAACGGTTTCCGGTAACTTGGTTGAAGGCCCCCCGTGACAGTCTGGCGTCAATGGGTTCATGATACGATGGTAAACATTCATCATCTGATTGCTCTGAAAACCAACGAACTTCGAACTCTTTGTTATAACCATGTGATTGGTTCATGTCGACAGGATTTTTGTATTTGTTTTAGATATTTTTGATAATTTATTTGATTATTCTGACAGTTTATGGAAAGACTACTATTAACATTTATAATAATTTAGTACCGAAATAAAAGTTTTAGTGTACTTCACATAATGTTTGAGGAGTGATATCGCCCCGATAGCTTGATAAATAACGGATAAATTTACAGAACATTTTTATTTAATTGTGGTTAAGTTATAGTACTCAAAAGAGTTTCATTTTGTACTTCTTATATTAAAATTGAGTTAGCAAATGTATTTTTTTTCCTTTTCGATGCAGTATGTTTTACAAATTGTTGTACTCTGATCATTGTTAAAAATATGGATACATTTTGTAAAACTTAGTTTAAGACGATAGTCATTTCGTAATATACGCTTACAAATTTATCTCAATTGTTTTTGAAACCTTTTACATGTATTAAAAAATGTGTTTGGAATTGTGCTTGAACAATTTTATAAAAATGCAATTTTTTAATCTATAAAAAATACCTTTAAAAAACAATTAATCCTAAATAATCCTATTTGATTTTACAAAAATGTTTCCAAAGTTATCATACTTTCTGAAACATTTTAAAGAACGAAACATAAATGCTTTCCATTGAGGGATAAATCCTTCCTATGTTTTATTTATGAATATTTTTTTCCCGATTCCTGAGGAAATACCAGATATGATTTAGGTTACCCTACGACCCCCCCACACTTTCCATCCGAAATCAAGGGGATAAAGCAAGCCACAAGAACCGGACAACATCAAACGGTCCGTGGGCCCCGAACACCCGGTTTTGCTTTATTTACGCATAATTTCGAACAATTTATGAGCTAGGTATTCGGGGCTCCACATACATAAATTTCCCAGCTCCAGAACGCTGGGCGGGATGGGAATCGAGGCGAGTTCAAAGCGTTTCCATTCCGTCCAGAGTCAATAAAATATTAAAAATTAGCTGATATAAATATAAGTAATACTTGGAGGCGCCAATGGCTGTGGTGGAGCGTGAAGTGGTTGTGATTGTGGTACTGTGGATGCGGCGGCAGTGGTTGCCCGTTGCCACCCACAATGAGCCACAAAAAGGCCGACACGGAAGTGTCTTTCACCTGGGCCCATTGTGGGTGCCATTAGCCGGATCGGAGATTAAAGGCGGCTGCTTCCGTGGGTTAGGTCAAATCAAAGGAACTTCAAACGGATCGCTGATTGGCTCTCATTCTCATCATAATTCCGGCGATCGAATGAGCTCCTAATTTGTTTATTTGTTCGCCTGCAGTGGCGGCGGTATCCCTTTGAACCCGCCGCCTCTATCGAACTCAGGTGCGATCTGATGGATCAGAAAGTACGGATAGTGCGTAATACTTCCCTTCCCCGCTTTCATAATCCTCGGAGCTTCTTGCAACGGGATATCCAAGGTGTTAATCATCCGCAAATCGCTTGGCATAATCTCGGAAACGCCCCAGATCAAAGACGTATCTCATTCTTGACCCGATAAAATCCAATGAGCTATTCGCTAACGAACTGTGATCTATCTGTTGGCCCGAGGATCGAACCTCTGGAATGTTGGGCTGCCGTTTACACTTTCTTTATCAGGTATTTGGCTGGTGTGATGTTATCAAAGCGAAAAACATGCATAAATTATTATTTTCTATCCTGTTAATAGACTTTGTGGTGGAAAACTGGCAAGAAAAATGCCTAAGCATCATTCTTTGCATAAAACTTTTAAAAAATTCCATATTTTGTAACATTTAATGGAAACCTAAATTTTTTTAGGCAATCCTATTTATCATATTTTCTTCTAAATACTATTCAATTTTTCAATCGCGTAATCTCAAGTGTAGTAATGTTAAGTTTTCTATAAAACTTAAGTAGCACTTACACACAAAAAAAAAAACTTGGTAAAATCAACTGTAATAATTGTCAAACAGGCCCCAACCAGCAAAATTGTCAATTCTACTAAGTAAATAGTCATTCCACAACAACAAAATACACACAACTAACAAAGACACAAACCCAAAGCAAAAACAAAATACACGATACTATTTTAATAGTTACGTAACTATCTTTGTTGGTCAATTTTACCAAACAAATTTTTTTTTGTGTTCATATTGGGTAGGGCAAGAAAATAATTTACAATGAGCCCAAGAAAAAGATGTATAAATAATAAACTCGTGATATTAAATTTATTAAATAAACAATCAGGTGTATCTCTAAACATTTTCTTTGGAAAAGCCGGGATTTGTTTATGAGGGCAATCAGAAATTTGTTAATATGTTTTTTAAACACAGGAATGATTTTGAACATATTGTGAATATGCAATTTAACTTAAATTGATATTTTAATATATTACCGAAAGTTTGGATTTTTTTAGATGTTATGTCACAAAACCATTTATAGTTGTAGATCTTAATAAAAATCTACCATTACATTATTGATTAATCTCAAAATTTTAACAGAAAATTATTCACACATACCCAATATTTTTTCGTATCAATTTTGGTCCGTTCTGTGTTCATATCAAAATGATATTTCCGAATTAAATCCGAATATTAATAAGAAATCTTATTATTTTGTTACGTAATATGAATCGTATGATATGAAACAATCTAAGTCCCATATTGTCCCGTTTTGTATTTTGTATTTGTATTTTATTTTACCACATGTAATCTAAAGTTATAAATAAACCTAATAAAAATAAAGCGTCGCCATATCTTAGCTTCTGTCAAGTGGATTTGTAAATATTTTTAAAAGGACAGAAAGAATGACTTACACATTTTTAATGTAAAAAAAAAAAAACCTTTCAATTTTCAACAGTGTTAATACATGTACCTATGTATTCCACCTCTTATTCATTTATGAAAATTGAAAATATAATAATTTGTACATTTTTAGAAGCTTGACCTTACAATTTTAATTTTTCGTTGCCATTTTACAGCATTCTGTTTGAATTCGCTTGGTTGTTTTGAAATCGCTCACCAACACAACCTTTTACTGTTTATATTTTTTACTGATTGTTTGTGGAGAGGATGGTTGTGGGAGGGGGTGCTGCGGTGGAGGTCGTGCGTCGACGCCTCTGCTTTCTGCCGACGTCGCTGCCAAAGAATTGCCGGCAATTTTTGCACATGCAGCTCTGTTTACAAGTGTGGGTGTGCGTGTGCTTTTGGGGATTTGTTTGTGTTGGAGAGCACGAGACTCTCGCTCACTCTCTCTCTCTCTGAATGTGTTTCTCCCAATTCGACGCTCTCCCTTGCAGCGGTGCTCCCAATCAGAGAGCGAAACGGAGAGCGCTCTGCCAATTGGTCTTACGCTCTCTTATTTCCCCTTTTTGCAGAGACAGCTGCGGTTTCATTTCAAACGTTCCCATTGCCCCTCTTTGTTTCCCCTTATACAGCGTTCGCTCTCTCCCTCTCTTTTGTTTGTTTTTGAATTCCCCTTCTGACGAGCAGCAGCGCAATGCGCTATCTCGCTCTCGCACCCAATAGAAGTGGGCTAGTTGAAGGTTTTTCTTCTTTTTCGCTCTTTATTTATTTCGCTTTTTGCGCTTTCTTTGTTTTTACCTTTCTGCGTTTGTTTGCGAGCGAGTGTGTGTGAGTTAATTGTTGTTGGTGCCAAAGTGAAGCGCAATGGGAAGAGGGGGTGGTGTGTGGGTGGGGGTGTATTGTCATATTTCGTCTTGCTTATTTTTGCAATCCTCAACCTGACGTTTATTTTTCAGTTTGCCTTTTCCACTTCCATTGTGTTTGCCTTTCATTCGGCTTAAATCCTTTTAGGAGTCAGGTGAGAATTACATTGAAGATAGGGGTAGATCGAACAATTCGACAAGTTTTATTTGAATACTAATATTTGGTTTCATTGGACCAAACAAATTTTTTATGATAATGCTGAATTTGTTAATTCATCCGCATATTAAAAATGAACATATAATGCATACAAATTTAATTCTAAATTTGTTAATCAAGGGTAGGAAAATTTGTAGAAAATCAATTGGTTGGAAAGTTATTTAAATAAAATACATATGTTCTCAAATTCAAGGACAACATTTATTTGCTAGTGTTTTTTAACTTGAAGGAAAGTAAAAAAAATTTAATTTAAAATTTAAAAAAATATGTTTTCGCTGTAATAAAATTAAAATCCGTTTTTCTTTAATATTATACACAGAGAAAATTATACGACGTTTTAGGTGCCGTTTTCTTGCAATAACGTTATTTGAGTAGCTTAAATTAATTGTAACTTGTTAATTTTGTGCTAAAAATCATATAAATTAGTCATAATACTGGCACAAAACCAATCACGTTGTACTTCCATTAATTGTCATGAACTTTTTTATTGACATTAATCTGGAATCTGGAAGCGTGTCACAATTTTGACAAATTTTATTATCTCTAAACTTGAAGTTTTGAAATTCCTGTAGTTGTCACATCTCCACGGGTCTCTTGCGATGGTCTCGCTGAAGAGCAGGGAGCTTCCGAAGAGTATCTTCCACTCGGGCAGGTGTCTCTATCGAATGCTCGCTTGTGCTTGCCGGAGTTCCCAGCGAATGCGGAATGTCGGCCACCTGAGCACCGTTAGCAATGTCGAGCAATTCTTGCAGGGCCATTCCTGGCTGAGAAGCAGTATTCTGTGCGTGGAGAAGACCCGGCCAATTTGGGAAGAAAGCAAGGCTCCAATGAGAAACGAGGACTGGAACGTCATTGTTGAGATGGAGAAGAATCTACTGCGTTTGATCGAATTGATCGGGTATTTTCTGCGCCCCGTATCAATTCAGGTCTTGCTTAAAATCCTAAATCCTTTGGGGCATTCCTGGAATATGTGGCAGGAAGATGAAGACGAAGAGATACCGGTGACCCTCACGGAGGTTACCGCCTTGCAGCCGCTTAAATTGGGACCCATAGACGATTGAGTTGGCTTTGGGAAGAATTCAAATCGCAGCCAGAAGACTCGCGATGAAGAATTTCCTAATCCACACACCCTCGACACTACAGATGCCATTTAAAAATTTCATATGACAGTTGTATTTAAATTTGGAGATAATATATTTTTATTAAAAACGGAATCGCAAGAATGTTCAGCCTGAGGAGTGGGATCTTCGCGGGCAGTCTTCTCGGAAGCGGCTCTTGCTTTCAGCGACTTGCGCCCTGTGCCTGTCGCCCTTCGCGAAAGTCCTTGCCGAGAAAGTCTCCGAAGAAACCATTCAAACTGCAGAGAGAGAACTTATCTGAAGAACAGAATCGCCTGCTGACCCTAACGGAGAGGGGGTGTCGATGTCGACCCGGGACGCCCAGGGAGCGTTGGTTCTTCACCAACCAGCGTATCATCCTGGCCCTGGCCATTGCCCTGAATCGTCCACCCGACTTGGTATCCGACTTCCTGCACTCGCTTACCCTGCAGAACTTTGCCCGGATCCTGAGACCCGCCGATCCCCCGGGAATTTTTTGCAAAGTTCCCTACGTGAATTGTAGTGCCTGTGACAATTTCATGAAAATTTTCGATACTCATGGGAACCTGAGGAGCCGCTTTGACCAGGACTCACTGGAACTGCTAATGCGTGTCGTACAAACGGTATTAAAACGAGATCCCCATAGCGAGCGGGAGCCGTTTGACACGAGTTTTGGCGCCCAACGTGGGGCAATTGAGAGAGCTTCCATTGCAAAGAGAGCAGGCATCGATAGCGACTCTGTGGCTCGCCAAAATGGCAAAAGACGATTAAGAATCGCGGAAGCGAAGGCTTATGAAAACAGAAGCCATTTCAATCCAGGCCTAGAAAAGACCACTTTCGGAGATGCTGGCTATATTTTTGGGTCCAGCTTTAGTTCCGAGGACGCGGATGTCACCATGTATAAGCCTGAAGATTGGGGGGTTAATGATTCGTTAACTCTTGAGCGTTACAGGCGTCTTGAACGATTGCTCATTCAGCTCAATGAGAAGACTTACCTGACACGCGATTCGGACAAACTAATATCTGCCATTAGGGACCTTAAATTGGATAGAGGCGTCATTTATCCACCGCAATCTTCGGATGATAAAGACCTCGCCAAGGATATTTCGGATTCCTACTATGAAAGGGTTAAGGCATCTGCTTCAAAATCTCTGCTTAGGAAACGCTCATCGCATCATATCAGAAAAAGAAAGAAAACCTTTGATGATGATTCGATTCTCAGGGAGCACACGAACAAACTGTACTACGGCGATCCCGTGCCGGTGCTTGTGCACGAACCCTTCGACCGGGAAAAGCCGTGGACCTGGCTGCGCCGACATCCTCAGCAGATGCGGTTGGACGACAAGGGCAACGTGACCCATGGCGTCATACGTCGATACCGGCGCTCAACCATCGAGAAGCAGATGCAGAAGGCCAAGGAGCGTTCGTCGGTGCTCTCAGTGGTCCCAATGGGTCCAACGAATACCAAGGTAGCGAAAACACAGCCAATGTTCGGTCAGAAGAGAACCAGAAGATAGACAGTCTCTACATTTTTGTAATTCCGTTCGATAATGAAAATATGTCGCTAAATACTCATCGCTTCTGGTGAATGATTAATATTAAGAGAAAATTGCAAGCGGGTATCAGAAATTTAATGTCAAATAAACAGTCAGAAATCATCATTACCAACAGTAAATTAAAAATAAATAGCATTTTATAAAGATAGTGCAATGCTTTCTAGAAGTTTAAAAAGTATTTTGTTGAAGTTGATTTTTATTTTTGTAAATATATACTTCAAACATGAAATATTAAAACTTTGATTAAAAAGTAGTTAACGCATAAACCAATTTTTCGTCTCTTCTCTTCTCATTTTTGGAAATCAGTTTTTTATATAACTTGCAAAACTTTAAGACATTGTTTGTATATACTAGACCGTTAGATATTCCATAAAAGATTAAGATGTATGAATTGATTTTGAAATGAGTATTATTTTAAATTTTGAATTTGAAAAATTTATCCCTCAATCCAAGTTTAGATATGACCGATTTGTTTTCTAAGAAACCGTAACGATTTAGCTTCCAGTTTTCATTAGCAACGTCAAAATGGGAGCCAGTTTGGGCCCAGTCCCATCCCACTCTAATAATCTTTTCCCCGAGCAGTGGCATTGGAAATCTGGCTAATGCCACCGCAACTGTGCTGTTAAATCATTTTGATAATGACACCCGATGGCCGAGGGGCCCCAGAACGGAAGAAGTCGGGTGCCTTTCGGGGCGCTACGGATATTATTTTTAGACCGCCACGTCGCCAAGGCGCACCGTGTTTTGGTATATTTTCGTGATTTGAGTTTTATGACGTGTAGTAATTTGTTGGCTCGTTAAGTTTCTTTAATAGGCTGGGCGAAGGGAGCGAAGATTCGGTGCGGTGCAACCCGTTCGCTGCATATCGAAATGATCTTTCGCTTTTCGCCTGGCTCTCTGGCCAATAAAATTCCAAAATTTTTTACGACCAGCAAAAGGGAAATCCAACCGAAATGTTTTTTATTGCACCAGAAACACTCAATAAAAGCGAATTATTAGTGTTGGATTGCTGCTCTTTGTTTTTGTGTGCTGGCGCGCCTTTCCAATTCTATTCCATATTTTTGGTGCGCTTTTTTTAAGCTTTTGTTGCTTCTTCATCTCGTTTTTTGGTCGAGGTGTAAATGCATTTTTATTACAGTTTTAAAGCCAACAACAGTTTATAGTTGGGCTTTCTTTTTCCCCCGATTTGTATAGTTCTATTTGTGTGGTTGTGCGTTGAGCCCAAAGCTTTTTTGTGCAGTTGCCTTTTTGAAATGGTGATCTGTTGTTTATGAACACACATATTTATTATGGCTTTTATATTTCCAGAATTACACGATTTGATTAATTGCTTTAATGGAAGTGCTTGAAAATGTGTTTGTAGTGATTCAGTATGCAGATTGAAGAGTAAAAAATATTAAATATCCTTTATCAAGTCTTTAAGACAGTGTCCTTACTAACCTTACACTTTATAATTACTGAAATAAATCCAGGGATATTGAATAAACATTGATATATTTAGAATTATGTTAACTGGAAAAATTTAATAAAAACATTATAATTAAAAATGTACACTTTATAGAAAACAAGAAAGAAAGCTATAGTCCAGAACTTCGACTATCAGATACCCTTTACTCAGCTGAAGGGTGTGCGAGAGAGATGGGAATGTACAGTCATTAAAGCTACTGGTGCGTCTGTTTAAATATTTGCTCATAAGCTTTTAAAGAATGGTCCGATTTAAAAAATTGTTTCTACATTTTGATAGGTATTTTTAAACACAGCAAAATATACTTTTCCTAAATCTTAAAAAATCTGAACGCCAGACACATTTAAAATTCATTTAAGGCGATGGTGGGCGAAGAAAGCATAATAAATCAACAAATTTTTAAATAGATCGCACAAAAATGTCAATTCTAAAATTCTTACTTAAAATATAACTGTCTAAGTAATAAAAAAAGATAAAACAATATAAAAAGCGCGCCGAAGATTTCCATTTTAGCCAAAATGCCACGCATCTAAATTGGCGAATTGCAACTACTCGTAAACAACGTCCTCAGTCAGACGAAAACAAGACCATAAACCACGATGAAGAAGCGTTTCGCACTGTGAACGAGTGTGTCGCCTGTCAGACAGCGACATCATAATAGTGTCATTGTCATCAGACCAATTGCATAGAGGACATGGCTCAACTTTCAAGCGGCCAAAAAAGAGGCGAAAATGCCAGAGTCATAAATCAAAAAGAGCGTCGCATGACGAGCTAAACAAACAAAAACAATTAGAAATAAGCGCAAAAACTAAACGCAACTGGAGGTTGGGTTTGGGGAAGTGGATGTGCTCCATATGATCCATATGCTGGGTATAAATAAACAATGCAGGCAAGGACAACGAGGACAACGAGGACAGCAAGGACAACAACGACAACATTTCATCAACGCAAACGAGCGAAACGTTTATCAACTGCTCAAATGGCCATTAAACGTGTGTGTGTCCCGACATCAACGCCCCAAAAGCAGCCAGGAGCCAGGCACCAGGCACCAGGATCCAGGACTATCTGCCAGGACATTCATCAAACGATAAATTGAGTGAATGACTTCATGATGGTGATGCAAAAGGGGCGCACTTCCTCACTTCCGGTCACTCGCACACACGCACTCACACTCACACGGACAATTGGCCATGTTGCAGTCGCTGCCCCGGAGGCGGTGCGTTTGCCACGCCCCCTTTGCCACCATGGGGCGAAAAGCAGATGGAAAAGCCCGAGCCCGAGGAGAAAAACCCATTTTGAGCGACTGTCTGCTGTCTGCCTTAAATTGCCATCACATCCTGTTTGGTTTGTTGGCTCGTCGGAGGTCGGAGGATGGCTTGCCAATTGTTTCTCTGATTGGTATTCATCCATGGACTGACTGAACTGACTGGCCATGTCCAGTTGGTGCAGCCGTCAGGACCTGTTATCCTTTCGGCTCCCGCTTTTTGGCCGATTTTCGCCTGCACTCTTGTCTTCGTCCTTAGGCCACATCCATCATTCGGCGCCCGACGTGACGTTAGTGTTTTAATGGACTCCACTTGTCTGCCTTGATCACACAGGACCCCGGAGTCCAGGAGTCCAGATGTCCAGCCGTCCAGCTGTCCGGAGTCCTCGAGTTCAGAGTCCTGTCCCACATCCTTTGGCTGCATTGTTTGTCTACGTGTTGGCAGCCGAGTCTGTCAGCCGGAACGAGGGCTTTTTTATTGCAGTCCAGCTCGGAGTCATTTGCATCTTTATTTGAGTCTGAGGCGTATTTATCTTTCGTCTTTGCAGTTGATTTGGCATACACTCGGAGAAAAGTGTACGATATGAAAGCAGTAAATAATAACTTAAATGAATCTATTGTCTACATTTCAAGCAATAGCCATATTATGATTAATTTAAAATAGTGACATCTGTTAGTGCAATCTAAAAGTGAAAATGTATTTTACTTCCTATTAAGATATGGGTAGTTTTTCTAAAATTTCTAACGAATTATCTAGGATATAGATAATAATAATAAAAAATAATAAATATATAAATGTTTTTTTAAGTAAAGTAAATTCGCATAATTAAATGAAATTATTCTAAAATGTAAAAGAATTTTTAAAGTGCATATTTATTGTAAAAAGATATTTTGATTTATATATATTTTTTATATATGGATCATTAAGTATTTAATAATATTATCTAATCCCCAAAATAAAATGAAATTTAAAAAAAAAATGCAAACGGGAGGAGTGAAAAACAGCGAATTTCTAATTCGTGGAAATATTTAATAAAATGTAAAAAAAATATAAATAATATTAACATGTTAACACATTTACTTCACAGAACCCAAATATCTTAAAAAAAAATAAATATTTTGGATATTTTTGGCTATGTACCTAAAATAAATATAATTTATATTTTATTCTCTTAAATCAAATGCAACAGTATTATCCTAGGTAAAAAATAAAGAGAGTGCTAGGAAGTGAACCCGAATGAGTGGGGAGCTGGTTGACAACACACAAAAATATTCCCAGCTTTGTCAGGCGGGATTACCTTTGATCGATGCAGAAACGGAAATATTGGCAACAGAGTTGCACATTTAATGAGCTTACAATGCCCGGATCGATTGAAGGCGATTCCATCATGCTACGTCCATACATAACACACATATATTGGCGGCTTACGTCAGTCGACTTCCTGACATTAATCGTGGCGACGGGCTCCTAGCCGATTTTAATCGCTGCTAATATTAACTAATTGGCATACTTAGCCGGCGATGAGTGCGATGAGAGATGAGGGATGAGAGATGGGAGATGAGAAAGTGTGCGGTAGTGCACCTCACAGGCTCTCCATCAAGATGCGACACGGCCTGAAATTATCTAATGAATTTTCACTTAATCCGAATCAAAAGTGGCGATCAAGATGCGGCATCCGTTTGCATCTGTTGGCATCGTCAGCCAAAAGAAAACTCTTGCCTTGCGATGTGTTGTGTCGTTGGTTGTCATAATCCGATCAGAAGGCCCAGGGCCCAAGGCCCCAGAGGATCGTTGGTCTTATGGAGCAGGGGGTCCCGAAGAGGGGATGCCAAGATATGATCTGTGAGGTCGTCAGCACGATCGCGATCTCCCCTTTTCCTCCATGCTGATCCGGTGGGTCTTCGTCTTCGTTTTCATTTTCGTCTTCGCGTTGATTTTCATTTCATACTCGCTAATAATTCGCCCGACAGATATTCAGGCATAATTAGAGATTAATTGTTCTATTCATAATTGGTCTTGGCTTGATATTTTTGGACATTTGGCAGGAAGGCGAAAATTACATCAACGTGGGGTTCGCTGGCTGTCACGCATGCTAAATGGCAGGGGTGACAAAAGAGGTGGGGATAGATCTAGAATAGGACCCAAGTGACAGCAACAGTTGCCCATGCGGAATCACATTTAAATATGACGAGCTGTAAGAAAGTGGCAAGAATAGTTTTTCAGCTAGGCGA